ACTACTACTACTACTACTACTATATTACTATTATTACTACTACTATCACTACTACTACTACTACTACTACTACTGCTGCTGCTACTATTACTACTACTACTACTACTACTACTACAACTACTACTACTGTCAATACAAAAGAATATATATATATATATACATATATATATATATAATAGAGAGGAGAGAGAGAGAGAGAGAGATTTGTTCTTGCACAACGTAGTCATGAAAAGCAGGCGAATATAATAGATATTTTTAAATCTCTGAAATCTCTAAACCATCATACATTACTATTGATTTGTTTCTAAAAAAAAGTTCCATCATCAAGTTTTGTTTTAAATTTCATTAAAAGTAAATTTTAAATCTTAATTAATCAATCAATTAATTAATTATTTAGATTTTTTAAAGTAACGAACACTTAATTTGTTTCGACGAACAATTAGAAGCACTCAAGTCAATGGCAGATTTCAAAATCGAGTTTGTTCAATTTTATTTCATTTTGATCTATTGATTTTGTAAAATGTAATAAAACAAACTTCAGACATGTTATATCGATCGTAAGTATTCAGTCTTTGTACAAATCTTCGATTGCACAAACTTCCACGACAGAGCTGGACAATCATGACAATGGTCAAAAATTGGCGGTGGGGCAAAGTTTGACGAGGAGGTCAAATTTTGACGGGGGGCCAACTACTAGAAATACTTGGCGACCTTCTTTATTTCTTTAGCTCAGCACACAATTTTATGTCAATCTTTCTATTTAAAACGGTGTTTTTATGTATAAAACTCTCAGTTTATTGTATAAAAAGTATTTGAAAAAATTTTTATTGGAAAATTTTCAAAAAGTTTTATAACAAAATGGTAGTCGATTGTTGATAACGGAGGCGGCATACCCTGAACCCGACACTGCAAACTTTGTCTACGTTATGTCGCGTTAGATTCAATGAACTTTTTTATCATTTATTTTTCAATTGTTAACTAAACCCCTAACACCCACCCAAAACAACCAAACATGATACACTTTTTTTGAAAACCTCGAACTACGTTTTTCGATCGTCAAGTCGTATTCTTGGCTAATAAAGTCATGATTTCAGAGGCGTTGCACTTGATGTTGTTGATTGTGGTGATAAGAAAATTATCTGATTGTTTGATCGAGTTGTTGATTTTTTCAATCATTCATTTTATGTCATTTATTTATAAATTTGTCAAGATTATATTATTCCTACAGTAGATCATAATTAACAATTTTGAAACTTTTTCCACTCAACAGCATAGATCTTCACCCTCGACCTTCTTCTCCTCCTCATCATCAACATCTTTTTCATCCACATCATCCTTATCACCACCATCAACAGCATCATCTACCATCCAAAAAACTTGTTAAAGTTTTGATACGGAGAGGAATAAGTTTTGGTGGTGGTCGATTGATTCCGAACTGGAATGCGAACGAGACAAGGAAGACAATGATAATGACGAGGAAGACGATGATAAGGATGTACGTGAGGTCGACCCCCTACAGGCCAATGTTTGGAGTCGTCATGATGTGCTCAACTGCTGCCTGGCTGGTCACAGCTATCAGCCTCATTACGTTCACCCTCGTCACAAAAGGTCATTCAAATCAAAAATATTTACTGTTGTGGTTATTATTATTATTACTACTATTATTATTTATATCATTATATTGTTATTTTTTTTAACCACTTTTGCTGGTATCTACCGGAAGTCCAGCAGATTTTTGAGATGTAGGAATTTAGTTTCCTGTTGGTAGAAACTTTCCGAGCATGTGGGCAGTACCGAGTAGAGCTATCTTCTGCACTTTTGCAACACTTTTCTTTCCAGGCAGTTCATTGACTTATTTCTGCAGCCCCTGACGTACCTTTTCCAATGCACCAACTACTATTGGGATCACGCGTGTTTTTGTGTTCCACATACGTAAAATCTCGATCTCAAAGTCTTTATATTTGTTTAGTTTTTCAATTTCCTTTGTAGCAACATTGGTGTCATTGGGGACAGTAACATCGACGAACAAGCATTTTTTGTTACTTCGACAACCTTTTCAGACTGGTGATCCCACCAGCGTTCTGGCACATTTTGACCAAGTTCTTTCAGGATTGGCAATGTAGATAATTAGCAATCTTATTGTGTAGATGCGTATATTCATTTGACGCTATTATTGGGCATCCGGCCACAATGTGGTTGACATGCTCCTCCTGCGGTTGACACAACCTACATTTAATTTTGACATCTATGTCTGATCTTGAGTTGCTATAAAGGGACTTTATCATCTTTTGGCCCAGAGCTGTATAGCCATCCAAATGTCTGTTTTATATTAATATTGTCAGAATTATGAAATAATACTGACTAAAAAGACTGCAAAATTTTCAACGCGAAATTTATTCACTCGATAGGGGGCATGGTGCAAGTTAATTTACTCGATAGGTGACGACGATTTTTTTTTGTTTTGCAATTTAGATGACGTCATAAATTATTACAAATTATTTTAAAATTTAATTAGTAATTTTTTTTATTAATTGGACATACCTTGGAAATTTTTATGTTTTTAAAACACCCGAAACAAAATCTAATTTTGCTTTGATAAGGAAGGGTGTGAAAAGACAAGAAGCACTGGGTTGACTAGTGAGGCAGCTTCGAATAATCAGTGCCTATTCTGGTCCCTAAGAGACTTAATACGTGATTCTATGCTCATTGGCATAGTTTCAGAGACGTCTTAAGTTCTCAAAAGTGGATTTGGTACGAGACTCTATGCTCATTGGCATAGTTTCGCACGCGTACTAAAGTCACACGATTTGTTTCCAGTGTTGTTCTGACTCTTGTTGTTTTGTGTTGGTCGTGCGAGAGCCGATCAGACTTGACGGCCCAGTGAAAACAGGCCAGGGTTGTGCAAAAGCCGACCGACTGACAGACAGGCCCAGTGAAAACGGGCCCTTGGTCGTGCGAAAGCCAATCAGACTCGACGGCCCAGTGAAAACAGGCCAGGGTTGTGCGAAAGCCGACCGACTGACTGACAGGCCCAGTGAAAACAGGCCCTTGGTCGTGCGAAAGCCGATCAGACTCGACGGCCCAGTGAAAACAGGCCAGGGTTGTGCGAAAGCCGACCAACTGACTGACAGGCCCAGTGAAAACAGGCCCTTGGTCGTGCGAAAGCCGATCAGACTCGACGGCCCAGTGAAAACAGGCCAGGGTTGTGCGAAAGCCGACCGACTGACAGACAGGCCCAGTGAAAACAGGCCTTGGGTTCTGTGAAAACGAATCCGCCTCGTTGTTTTGTTTCTTGTGCTATTTGTGGACCTAGGGTTCTTTGCTGGATTCTATACTCATTGGTATAGTTTCACACGCAGCTTGGAATTTCCATAGGCTCCGATTTTTGTAATTTTTCCATATTCATTTCATTTATTTCTTGGAGTTGTATCGACATCCCTATCGGTTACACACGTCGAGGTTGTACGATTAAACGGCAAGAAACATATCCCAATCAGAATTAACAGTCGGTCACGAGACTAACTTTTTTAATTTTAAAGAATATAAACTATCTAAATACTCGGCTGTGTGTCTGAACTACTTTCTCTGCTAACAACAATGGGAGGTCATGGCATCATTTCATTAAAAGATGCGACAGAAAAAATAAGACTGAAACTTCGGTTCTATTTTAAAACTAATAGCAACAAAGAAATTCAATGTCTCTGTAAAGAATCAGCAATCGATTTTATTAAAGTAGATAATACGCTCTTAAAATATGGCCAAGTAAGGTCGTCGCTTAGTCATTTGGAAGAAAAAAGAATTGAATGTAGCTTAAATCATGTTTTTCTCGCTGCAGAGTCAAGGTTCACTAAATTTAAATATAAAAAATTTCATCAAAACCAAAAACATATCCTGTTGGTCAAAGTCCACGGAAAATCTAGCCGGAGTCCTCTAGATATTTACTAGGAAGTATTTAGTCCAGCAGTTGCCTACTAACGCAAATTTGTTTAGATGGGGAAAACGCAAAGCCCTCAATGCCCTCTCTGTGATTCTTGACAGACAATAAGCTCGTAGTTTCCAATTGTGGTTCTACATCCGCTCTGGCAAGATATACCGAAAAACACAACAAGATATTAGCCGTGATCATCAATTGGCTGAAAATATCCGCTCCAGCCAATAGCCGCATATTTGCAGATTTAGAGTCTGAGGGTATTCGCCCAATATCTCAATTATTCAACACTTTACAACCCGATATCGCCATACTTCAAAATAACAAAATCTAGATTCTAAAATGAACTGTGTGCCATGAAACCAATCTAGAATTCTCTAGGCAATACAAGAGAAATAAATACTCTAATAATTTGCATTGTTGTTTAAATAAAAACTATAAATATTGTTCAATAGTTATAAACTCATTCGAAATAACGCCTATTGGTTTTTACAATAATTTTAATGTCACGGTTTAAAGTTCCATGGCTGCTATCATTTAATGATAAATTGATAAACACTGTTATAAGATTATCGTATGACATTTACTGTGACAGGAACAAGCTATGATGCTAATTAATTATATTTCACCGTTCTGCACTTAACTTCACAATGAGCAAAATGGTCTTAACCTTTAATATTATTTTATAAAATTTTTACAAATTTTATCATTGCGCATTATTTAATTAACATTAACTTATATATATATATATATATATTTAATATATATATATAATTAACATTAACTTATATATATATATATATTATTAAACATTCATAATAATAATAATAATAATAATAATATATATATTTATCATTGTATGTTTTTTATGGTGAAAAATAAAAGATGTTCCCATTACTCTTGTTTTTATTATTAATATTTTTCTACACTGTTCCAAGACAATGAGCAGCATGACTTTATTTTATTTTATTTAACTTTATCGTATATATTTTAACTTTATGGTTAATTTTATTAGTGATCTTTTGAAACTTAATAATAAAAGAGTTTATTATTATTATTATTCGCAATTTTCACAGCTTGTTTAAAGCTGGCCATTGACAAACCCAGGGTTCAACAAGATCCCATAGAGATTCATCCAAGAATTTTTTTATAATGCTCGCCGTTCCTATGTTAATGCTATTTTTTGAATTTCAGCCATAGCCGGTTTCCTGAAAAATTCTTTCAAAACTTTATCTAGATTTTTTGAGACTATTCCTAGTGCCTTCACTACTATATGAATAACTTTAGTTTTTGAGTTCCACATTCTTTTTATCTCAATTTGAATATTTTTGTACTTACAGATCTTTTTTGTTTCTTTTTGGAAAACATTTAAATCGTCTGGAACAGGTATATCTATCAATAGGCATATATTTTCTGTTTTATCTTGGACAATCATATCTGGTCCGTTTTTTTTCTATCTTTCTATATGATACAACTGATGTCACCCATAAAATTTTACCATTGATATAGTTTGTTACATTCTTCTGTTCATGCTTATAATATTCTACACATGTTTTTAAGTCAACATATCTACTTATAAACAAGTGAATATAGCTTGCAACTCAATTGTGTCTAGGCGTATTCAGTGGATGCCAGCACGGGACATCCAGAAATCACATGGCTGATGCTTTCAACATGCTTGTGACACATTCTACATAGACCATCAACATTTAGTTTAAGTACTCTTTTTTGAAAGTATCTAATGTTTAATGTCTATTATTATTATTATCGTTATTATTATTATTATTGCCGTCGACTGGCAAGTGAGTTGGCCGATAAACGCCCAACTTACTGCTAGATGGCATAATCATGGTTTATTAGGTTTTAACTGGTTTAAAAATGGGTCCAAAATGATTGTAGCAATTAGTTGAATAAAGGTTTTGAATTTAGCTGCCATTGGTTTGGAATTAATATTTTAATTTAATTTTAACAATTAATTTCAAATTATTTAAAAAATAGCCGATATCAATATATACAGCAACAAACGTTAAGCTATTGTTAAAATGGCCATTCCTGGCTCTGTACGCTTTTGTGTTAGAAAATGTATGTACCGTGTGTTGTTGCGACTTAAACTAAAATATTAATATTTCTACTTTAATTTAATAATAATTATGTCAACGATAAATCTAATTTAATAACAAGAAATTTGAAGTAATAATAATGGTATTAATAATAGTAGTAATAACAATATAAGAATAATAATGGATAATGTATCATCATGTTTGGCATCCACGAGAGAGACGCCGGACGAAGGGACAGGACCCGACTTTCCCCTCATAAACAGGCAGCCGAACTCTGCCACAATGCTCAATCCTGGAACATCACTACATTACATTAACAATTGCGAAAGAAGCACCAGATTTTCCATTCCAGTTGAAAGAAAACTGAACTGGAACAGATGATTGATGAGATTTGAGTGTTTTGAGTGATTTGAGTGTTTCTACATTAATAACTTTATATTTGCATGTACGTACGTTTTAAAACTCAATTTAAATATTAAACTGACCTACTCTAGTTGTACACATTCTACACTATGTCGAGCAATATAGAGACAAGGTTCAGACTGTATAAAATATATTATTGTCTTTTTATTAACTTTATTGCAACTCTATGTTTACCATAAAATTTTATTGATAACGCCAAAATAATAAGAATAATTGAACCCCAATTGAACAATTAAACCAGCTCCTCTAAAATGTACTCACTTGCAGTGACAAACATTTTAGATTAATAGGATTTTATAATTATTTCATTATTAATATTTAGTATTTGGAGTTAGAAAATAAAAGAATGTTCCCATTATTATTATTAATCGCCTTCCGGAGGTTTTTTTAAGTTCGTCAGAAAATGTCTAGTGCAACAACTCCTGACAAATGCAACCTGCTCAGGTGGGGTAAATCGTCCACTGCACACATTAAATTTTAAACATTCTAAATTAATAATCAATACTTTCGAAATATCTCCATTAGGTTTATTTAAATTTTTTAATTTATCGCTCGTCGATATTCTGTGGTGTGATAAATTCTGTAACAGTCTCATTAACTCAGCAATATCATCAATATATTCCTTATATTGTGACAGAAATGTCATTTGAATTAATTTTAAAACTAACTCTATCTGGTTGTACTTTTTTTAATTATTGATGAGCTTCGTAGATTATGGTGATTATTATATCATTTAATTAATCATTTAATTTCTCATAATAATTATTATTATTATATTATTATTATTATTGCAATCAATTTTTTAATAAAATATTTGAAAATTATTATTATTATTATTGTTATAATTGTTATTGTTATAACTGCGAGAATGATCGAATTGTCAGGTTTCCAGCAGATAAGCGAAATCATAAATGGGATTCATGTGGTTATTACTTATTTATTAGTCTCTATTATTGTTGGTATTCAAATAAACGTTCAACAAAGTTTGCGTTTGAAGCGGTTGCATTCATCTAGCGAAAATCTTGAACCTTCGGAATAACGAACACTTGACGATCGTTGGAAGCTTCAACACTGGTGTTGGAAATATAGAGATTTTTAAAGTTATAACATCGGTGTTGGTAGTTACGAGAGTCAAGGGTTACAAAATTATTTTATTGCCGAATATATCTTAATAATGGCTGATTAGCACTAAAAAGTTATTTTCGTCCATTTAAAAACGTAATCACAAATTTACCAAAGTCAACAAAATATTTATTCAAACAATTTATTATTTCATTAAAACAAAATCGTACAGACATGCCTGGCAAGAATACATCATCAGCATCGTCAACAAACAACAGCGACAACTCTTCACTGCCAACAGCAGATACAAGTTCCATTACTGGCGCAACAATTAAACCAAACACAGCAGCAGATGTGAAACAAACAACAATGTTGTATATGTTGTTCAGTTCAACATCAACGGCAACAAATGTTGAATCTACGTCAACTACAATATTTTCAACTACCACTGCAACAACTACCACAACTGCAACATCTGAAAGTACTAGCCTTGTGACTACAATAACCACTGAATCTACAACAACTACTGCAACAACTACCACTACTGCTACAACAACCACTACTGCAACAACTACTGCAACAACTACCACTACTGCTACAACAACCACTACTGCAACAACTACTGCAACAACTACCACAACTGAAGCAACATCAACTACCACTACTGAAACAACAACTACTACTGCAACAACGACTACTACTGCAACAACTACCGCAACAACGACTACTACTACAACAACTACCACTACTGTAACAACAACCACTA